GCAAGTCTATAGCGTAGCCACTGCCTACCGCTTCGGCCCAGCTTTCATGAGCTACAAGTAGATTAATCCGGCATGAAAATCCCTTGCGGAATCCATGTTGCGCAACACTGAGAAGGTTGAATCGATTCAGGTGGTTCTCCCCTGAAGCCCTTATCAGCCTTTCAAGGAACTTGACTACTACGCTTGTCAAACTGACCGGCCGGTAGTTCGCGGTTAGAGCGCTGTCATTGCCCTTAAATATCGGACAGATGATTGCCTGCTTCCATTCCAATGGTTGGATGCAGCTGTCCAGCGATATTGAAAACACGCACGTAAGAGGACTACGCAGCTCAGTGGCCAATTCATGCAACAGCTTCGGATGAATGGAATCAGGACCGGAAGCTTTAGGGGATTAATACCTTGCAGTAGCTCGAAGAACTGAGTCTCCGTTATGCCAAATTAAGCTAAGCAAGAATCCTCTGGAACTCTTGAAACCAATTCAACCTGTGGTAAAGAGGTCTCCCGAGCAAAGCCTGCAGTATACTTATCCCTCAGTATACAAGCCTTGTCATAGTCAGTTTGCGCACGGGTCCCGCCTGTTCGCAATAAAGCTGGTATAGACAGTTTTGCCTCGCTGCGTCATTTAACGTAAGCAAAAAGTCTTGGGATTAGCTGCGGCCGTCCGCTTAACCCTGCTCATACTGGAGACGAGCAGTTCTGCGATGTTGCTTACATTTATTTCTAATCTCTTAATAACTATCACGGATGCTGGCTGATGGAGCTGCTTGGTAGGTTCGCCAGCATCTAGACCGTTTCTTGAGTAGGTACTTGCCTGTGGTATCTATCCATGGAGGCTGTGCCCTTAAACCCTTTTTCCTCATTAGTCGAATATAGGGAGTTGAAACCTCAAGGCTAACTGGACAAAGTCAGCCATCGAGATCACCCAGTTCAGAACTGAAGCCTTAGCTCGCATGGCACTGAATTCCGCCCGCCAAATGTTTGGAAGTAATTCAACAGCGGTCACTTGGTGCCTTGAAAGAGCACATCAAATTGATAAGCATGCGTGATCGCTGGACCCTAGAGGTACACCGTTTGAAACATCAGTCACGAAGTCAGGGACTTAGCGAAAACCTAATCCAAAGTAGATGGCATTTAGTTGTCCATACACCTAGTAAAAGGCCACGAACTGGCGCGAAGGCGTTTGAAGAGTCAGTTCAAGGAATTCTTCACCGAATGTTTCCAATGCCGAATTGCAAGAAAGATCGGCCCAACAGACCTCCGGGAGATTAAAATCTCGTAGAACTAAACACTTATTCGCGCTGATTGCGAATAAACACAAGTTCGCCCTTGGAGGAGCTTCCAGGACTTATGTATATCACTAGAACTGTAAACTGGGTAGAGGAAGTGCCCAAAACAGCCGATAGGGCTTCAACAGTCTGATCCGATGACTGGAAGGTGCAGGTCTTCAACACATCTAAGTTACGGCTCACATACAGTACAACGCCTTCGCCTTGGCGACCAACGGAGTGATCAGTTCTAAGCAGCGCGTAGCCAGGTAAACCTACCTCACCGTCCGTGCTATCCGAAGACAACCACGTTTCAGTGAAAGCAAGTATGTCGGGACGAGGTTTGTCTGCAAGTAGACCCAACTGGTGCACCTTGTTCCTTAGGCTAGGCACGTTGCTAAGTACTACCACAAGGAAATCGGCACGCCCATCCCTAGGTCGTGCGCCATCAGGATGGGTTCTGACAGAGAGGAAAATAACTTCCGGCTGACTACCTGAAAACCCACTAGACGGAGGTCGTTCTCACCAGCCGCCCGTCTAGTTTTGAGGTCTTTGATAGCTTCTTTTAACTTCAATCTGTCTGCCAGTGGTAGGTCCGGCTAAACGCTGACACCACTACCCTTAATTTTGAATGGAACCGCAGTAATGGTTTGCGTTCCTCCGGGGTAGAAAGGACTACGCGAAGTAGTAGGGGCCGTGAATTTGGCGTATCGTTAGGGACGTTCACCAATCAGGTCAGCTTTCTGACAGTGACATCAGGAAAGCCAGGTGGAAGCAGCTTGCTGACACAGAGTTTCAGCAACTTGATATCATCCAAGATGCAAACGCTGGGCATGTGGCCAAAAGCGTTCTCGCACTTGCTGAACCGCTTTTCAAGACCTATGCTGTGCACAAGGGTTTGCTATGGATTTTTAGTTATTGCATCGATGCTGCTGCGTTTGCAAGGCGTCCGCCACCTCAACCTCCGGAACAAGGTACTGCTGCTACTTCTGCTAGGCGTGCCAGAAAGCGGAGCAACTAACCTTCCAGCAGCGCTCCAAAAATCGCGGCCACCCCAGCCCCGTCTACTTTTCATTCAGACGTATGGACACACCTCCGGCATGCTGAGCCAACGACAAAATCATATGCGGCCTTAGTGAAGGAGAAGGCGACCTTGGTCTCGTGTGGCCAAGGTCCAGCCACATGTTTCAAAAAGACTTTGTGTCAGCCTGAGCTTCCATCTTCTCAGTCACAAATGAAGATAGTTCTCAACAGACGTACTGAGCCGGAAAAAGTAATAAAGGAAAATCCATCATCTCGTAAGCCACTAATCCCATAGCGCATTCAACCACCTCATGACCGTTGTCTTATCATCGTGAATGCGGCGGAATCGGACAAGACTACCTAGGCTGAGAGAACGTTGGATGATCAACCATTGCTCGAGCGGATGATTTCTTTATTGTTTGAGGCAATCGAACAGGGAATAAACATTGTCCCTGTCTTCTGTCTCGATAAGAAGCAGGAAAATTCCTACAAGTTTTGACCCCTCAAGATTGTATGCGGAAACGTAGAAGAGTGCGCGAGCATCCTCCGACGGACTCCACAACTCAAAGGTGAAACTTTCTACATGTTACGAGACTTCTCTCCCAAAGACCGAATTAAAATGAAGAAGGCTGTAGAAGAGCTCCGAACGCGCCGGGAGAGTGGTAAACCGACCTACATATCGTAGAGTTTTTGCGTATTTCGGAAAAGCACAAGAACCCGCTGGGGGCCGATTCTTGTCACTACCAGACAGTAAAGCATAAAACGGACTACGCGTGCTAACTGCTAATGTGTGCAGTCTAAGGAATAAACTGAATGAAATTTAGTTGCTTACTTCGGAGACTCGACTAGACCAGGTGGCCTTCCCAGATATCACGGATTCGGAAGTGTCTATCCCTGGATATCACCACTCCCGCTCCGATCGTCAAAGAGTGGGGCCAGGTGGTTTAGTTGTTCTTTACTAGAAAAAAGACCTCAAAGTACATTTAGTTGAAGCTATCTAACCATGATGACAATTTCGAAGGCCTCTGGTGCCGTGTTGGTGGTGGCTGCTGATCTCGCTTGGTCGGTGTCGCCTACAGAGAGCCATCGAGTCACGGAGCGCGCTTGTTGGGCTTGATAAGGATGTACGGTGGGAACAAAGCCTGTCTAATCTTGGGGATTTCTATGCACTGGATATCGATTGGGACCTACTTCTTTGTGAGCGCCGATCTGACTCTTTCGATGTCACATTGCTTAAAAGCGCTCTCGACTGCAACCTTCTTGAATGTGGCTTGAGGTCTGCTTGTATTTTCCCAGACCAGACACCGCACATTCTGGATCTCGGGCTCTCTCCGGCAGATTCGGACGTCACGAGCCTAACCGTTCTTCAATCCATAAGCAAGAACGATCAGTGTGTTGTTTCATTCCACTGGACGCGCCATCTCACGATCCATGGCCGCAGTGATCACCGACGGAATATTTTGAGTGCCGAGCCACTCCGTTTGAACAGGCCGCAAACGCTACGGATGGTGCAATCCCGAACACATTCACCTCAACGACGCGTGGAATCTTGTACTCTCCAAAATAACGTCACTAATTGAGCAGGTCGTTCGCTCCTCATAACGAAAGCCTTTCACTAGAAGTCCACCTTGGATGGATCGAGAATTGAAGTCAACTATGAATAGAATGCGCAAAGTATGGGATTGCTTTAGGCAATCTTAACCAAAACCCGACTTCTTACACTACAAGACTGTCAGAAAGGTTTGTGATGCGATGAAGCGTCAGAAACCCCAACAATACTAACTATCCTTGGTACAACACTCCGCAGTCGCGCCTAAAATTCTCTACTCTTATTTGAAAAGAAGCACTAAAGCTGGTACTGGCATCCCTGCTTTGTGTTTCTGTGATCATCAAGCTTTACTACACGCGGATGCCGAGCAAGCTTAACAATACGCTTCTACTTACTTGAAAGAACCACTATTTAGGGACAGAGCCGTATCCACCTTTCCATCTTCGTTGGCCCAAGTTGATATTAACGCTGATTCTGTGATGGAACTTCTTCTTGAGTTAGAACTGTATAGCTCAGTTGGTTCAGCTATATTGCATCTTCGGTTCCTCAGGACTGTGGCGGAGTATATAGCTTCACCCATATGTCAAGTGCTTCACCGCTTACTAAAAGCTGGCCGCCTTGCTTCAGCTTGGAAAGGGGTATCGGCAAACCCATCTATAAAGGAGGAAGTCGACATGATCCGGCCAATTATCGTCCAGTCTGTTTGACGTCAATAGTGTGCAAAGTTATGGAGCGGATCCTAATACCGACAGTTAACCTTCATCTTGGGAGACAGAAATGTCAGTTCTTATACCCAGCATGAGTTCCGAAAAACACGCTCCTTTACTTCGCACTTGCCCGTTACTGAGTTGACCTGGGCAAGGTCGCTAGACTCCGGCAAACGCTTGAACGTTGTGTTTGTTGAGCTCAACAAAGCATTTGACAATGTCCCGCATGGGCGGCTTCTGTTTATGCTCCATAGGATCGGTATTTCTACGAACCTGTCTTGGATCTCCGACTTTCTAAACGACCGCTCCATGTAAGTGAAGGGGAATGACACGTCTGCTGCTCCTGTCCCGCAGGGCTCTGTCCTCGGTCCCGTACTTTTCACTATCTTCAGCAACGGCTTACCGGTCACTCTTCAGACGGACTGCCTAATTTACGCTGACGACCTAAAGCTATGGATGAAAGTATCTAGCCTTGAAGACGCGGACAGATTACAAACTACCCTCGATCTGCTCCATAATTGGTCGAATAAGTGGCAGTTGCCCGTAAATAGTGACCAATGCTCTGTTCTCTCTGTTGGCTCATCAAACCCATTTGGAGATTACCACATTGGTGGTTCTTTGCTCAGTAGGGCAACCCAAGAGAGGGACCTTGGAGTGATAGTGTCATCAGACCTCGAATCTATTCAAGACACCCAGAAGCAGGTCGCCGCGGCCCATAGGAAGCTTTATTCTATAAGTAAATGGTCTTCTCTCCTAGTCTCGAGGCGTTCCGACTCCTCTTTAGCTCACAGTTATGCCTGATTCCCGAATACGGACCACCTGTTGCCTGCCCTTGCACCAAACCTGAACGTGATATGAAAGAGGGTTAACGGCGTGGATCCCAATCTGTCTCTAAGTTGCGAGCTCTGTCGTACCCACTCCGACTTCAACGACTGAATTTGTTCGCTCTAGGTTACCGCCGTCACTGCGGAGCTTTGATAATCACTCGAAGTATTCTCAAAGGAGAACGGGTTGTGAGTCACAGGACTTCCAGCAACTCAGCACTGAGAGTTCGACACAAGGCAACCGCAGGAAACTGTGCAAACCGAGGAATCTCCGCGTGCGGCTAAATTTGGCCTTATCAACTCGCGTAGTGAGTGATTGAAACCGGTTGACGGATCCTATCGTTGATGCTGAGACAGAGTAACGCTTCGAACAAATGGTAAATTCTCACCTGAGCGCGCTGGGGTTCTGCTGTCTCTAAGACAGCTAGAGTGTTCTGCGGAACCTTGTACCGCAATGACCCACGTCATCACCACAATGATCTGGAAGTGAAGGATCTGACAAAGGAGCTTTCTTCTGCTTTCTATCATCCAATGAGGCAATGACCATGGTCTGTATGGAGGAACCGGTAAAAAAAGACTTCCCAGTTCGTCAGGTTTACCTCATATATAAAATATCCTGAGGCGCCTTAGTGTCGGACGATGGTAGATCGCGAAGTACACCGAAGTGTACGGGTACGTAGATTCCGACCATGAAGCAATCAGGCAGCGCTGCTCACAATCACAACAACCCAGCGGTAACCAAAAAAGAACCACGGAAGATGATCTCGAAACCGATCGTTGTTTCTATTTATATTTAAGTAAAACAATTTTGTGCAACTACAGCGGAATAGGTAAACGTGAAATTAAAAAATTAACAAATTATGTACAATCGCTACAGTACATCACCTAGAGCGTGCATTGAGGAAACGCTCGACATGGTACCTACGGAACGTACTGAGCAAGCTTACATGGAAGGGAACAACACGACCAGAACGTATGTGGGTGGAGCTGCTTGTAGTCGGAGGGCACAGAGGACTCGGTGTATTGGCGTCAGTGTGCTTTTGGGTAGGGGTAATTTGTCAGGGGCAGGAGTATGCTGAGGGAGGAAACGGGGTCTGTACTATCGACTGTAGGTTCAAAGTAAGCTGGTTTGAGTCGGTCGATGTTCACGGATTCTTTTGATTCATCCTTATTCAACATGAAATACTTGAGCTCCCGTGATAAGACCTGGTACGGGCCTTCATGGGGCGGGGTTAATAGTCTTCGGACGGCGTCGACGCGGATAAAAACAAACAAACACTTGTGTATATCCGGGTGGATTTGCTGTTTACGTGTTAGGCCGCGTAGACGTTGGTCGAAAGGATCGAAAATGGTGCTTAAGACGTTCAGTGTACGAGAAGGGGTCTAGTTCGCCGGTGGTGCGAGAGTCCAGTACCATCTCACCAGGGAGCCTGAGGGTCATCCCGAACACGAGTTCTGCGGGCAGCTCCCAATATCCTCTTTGATTGCATTGTGTATGCCAAGCAGGATAGCAGGTAGACGCTCAGACCAGCGTGAGTCGGATGAACTGGCCATAATGATAGCTGTTAATTGTCGATGGAAGCGCTCTACGTGGTCTTTGGCAGCGAGAAGGTAGGTGGTTGTGCTTATGAGAGTACAGCCTAATAAACGACGCAAACTACGGAACAGTATGGAACTGAACTGTGTCCCTCCGGCTGTAGTGTTGGTGGATGGAACAACAAACAGAGAAATCCAAGGTTCAACAAAAGCACGGGAAACAGATTCAGTAAATGTATCACGTAAAGTAACAGCTTGTGGCCAAGAAGTAAAACGGTCAAAAGATTTTAGATGAGTGAAACGGTTAGAAGGATGTCAAGGGCCATCAATATTTACGTGAACGTGTCAAAAACGGGTGTCAGGGAGGGAAAATGTACCTGGGGTAGTGACTGTGTGACGATGAACTTTACTGGTTTGGCAACTAAGAGAGCGTTTAGCCCAACGTCTAATGTCTGAACGCATATTGTGCCGGAGGAAACGGTCGGTAATGAGGTTTACGGTGGAGCGAACACTCGGGGGTGAAAGACCATGAAAATGCTCAAAAGTGACTCGACGCAGTGATCGAGAGACGAAGGGTCTAGGTGTACTGGCTGAATGGTCACAGCAAACTTGTGTCAGAGTTAAGTAAGGACAACTGGGACTTTCAATGCGGGGTGGAGCAAAGTTGGACAAGCGCAGGTCGAACGGTCGCTATTCTCTCCAGGTCGATGGGCGTTGATGACAATTGATTCATATGAACGTGGGATAGTGCATCGGTAACAGCGATGTTAGAAACGCTGATATAACGAACCTTGACACAGAACCGAGAAAGAGTGTCCGGAGGACGCGTTTCTCGGAGTGAGTAACGGTCCAAGACAGAACGGAAAGCGTACACCAGTAGCTTGTGACCTGTCAAGCGTACGAAATGACGTCCTACTAAAAGGTAAAGGAAATGTTTCACAGCCAAGTACATGGCGAGCAGTTTGCGCCCAAATGTGCCGTACCTGACCTGAGCAGGTTCTAGCTGTCGTGAGAAAAACGACAGCGGTTGAAATTTGTTATCAAGTAACTGTCGCAAAACTGCACCAACAGCCGAACTTGAAGCATCCGTCTTAAGAACAATTGTAGCGTCCTCAGTGGTGTTCAAAGGATGGAGAGAAGTGACCTCGCTAAACTTCTGCTTGACGGCCATGAAAGCGGCTTCAACTTCTGGGTTCATCCTTAACGTTTTTGAGTTTCCTTTCAGCAAGTTGGTAAGCGGATGCAGTAAATCAGCACGGTTGGGAATGAATCTGCTGTAGTAGTTGATCCTACCGAGAAATCGGCCTAAGCTCCGGACAGATAGAGGCATCGGGTAGTCGTGCATCATCAACATTATCATTATACACTTCAGGTAGAGGTGGGAACACCACAGCTACTGTGCTGTAATACATAAAGGAAAAGGAAAATAAATAAAACAGGATCGCTTAGGATTTATCCGGTGAAGTTTAGTACCTTCGTCACCTATACTGTGACCAAGAAATTCGACGGTTGGCTGACCAAATATGCATTTGTCCGGGTTGATGGTTATACCGTAGTTTCCAAAGCGTTCGAAAACTATCCTGAGGTACGATAAATAGTCGTCATGCTTGGCGTTTGCGATCAAAACCTCGTCAATGTATACGTAGACGAAAGCAAGACTATGGAAGACCTGATCCATAAAGCGTCGGAAAATATATGCTGCGTTTCTGAGGCTGAAAGGCATACGAGGGAATTCGTGAAGGCCAAATAGAGTGAGCACAGCAGTTTTCGTGATATCTTCCTCAGCCACTGGGATTTGTTGGTAAGCTCTGACTAGGTCGAGTTTGATGAATATTAACTTTCCGGCTAGCCCGAGAGAGAAATCGTGGATATGGGGGATATGATACCTATCCGGAACAGTGATGTCGTTGAGAGCACGGTAGTCACCGCATGGTCGCCCATCGCCTCTCTTTAGACACCAAATGGACAGGCGATGCCCAGCAACTGGTTGAAGGACGAACGATGCCGAGATCAAGCATGTAGTGGAATGCCTTTTTAGCTGCCTGAAGCTTGTCGGGGCGCAAACGCCGGTTTGACAGTAACTGGCGGACTGGTTGTAACGATGTGATGGTGTACATCGTGTTTGGGGTCGGACGTATGGTTACTTACTCGAAATAGGGACGGGAATTGTCGGAGCAATGAACAGTACTGTGAGTCGTCAGGTATTGGGATGCCATGCCCGAGAGAATTGATGGAAGCAGGTTTGCCGGGATGCTTGAACGTGGTACCGTCTCGTAATTTCCCATGACGTAGGTCGACCACAAGACCGAACTTGCTGAGGACGTCGAGTCCGATGATGGGCTTTTGCACATCGGCAATGGTAAAAATAAAAGGGAAGTTAGGCCGTAGTCCGAGGCTCAAAGTAAGTAATTTCTGGTCGGAGGTAGCGATTTTAGTTTGATTAGCTACCGTAAGCCCTGGACCAGCTAGTTGAAGGGGGCGTTTTTCCAGAGAACGGGGGAGAACGATGACTTTTGCACCAGTTTCAACCAAGTAGTGAAGTTTGGTTGTGGAGTCAAATACGCACAACAGGCGACCAATAACCTGGCCAGCGACAGACACCGCCATTAGTGGCTGGCCATGTAGTTTCTCGACGTAGGAGTTGAATAGGCTTTACTGTGTTCACACCTTGGCCGGCACAGGGCTGCGTCTCCGAAGCGGTGGTAATAATAACAACAGCGGTGCGACTGTCGTGCACGAGAATTTCTAGAAGGTCTGGATCGAGAAATGGATCGCTGCGAAGGAGCGCGATCACGTCTGAGGTGGGACAAGGTGAGCTCTAATTTAGGCAGTTACTAGATGGTTGTAACAATTAACGTGTTTTCGGAGGGGTTGTTTGAGCTAGTCTCAGTGACGTGGGATACCGACGTTTTAAGGAAGCCATCGTGAATTTCATCGGCAGCACCTGTCAGTTTGTCTAGCGTAAGCTCTTTGGCGAGAACAACCAAAATGGCTGTCATATTGGCAGGAAGACAATTACTCCATAATTGGCGGAGAGCGGAACCATCCGGTATGGAAGAGCCGACGAGGGAACGCATGTGTCGGTGTGGCTAAGATGGCGTTCTATCTCCAAGCTCAACGCCCCAGAGTAACTGCTGAAGGCGTGTCTCGTCTGAGACTGTAGGGCGCTTTAATATGGCTGCCTTGAGTTTATCATAGAGGGATTCTAGGGGCATAGGATCAAGAATATCCATGACCCCGGAGGCGATGTTGCACGGTAGGTGAGTGGCCACCTATGAAAACGTAGTGGACTGGGATGTTATCTTAAGAAAACCAAAACCAACTTCTACTTGAACGAACCAAACACGTGGGTTAGAAAAGTCAAATGAAGGTAAAAGTAGCCCAAGGGAATGGTCCGACGCATTAATGGCGGGAGCTTGATTAGACATCGCGAAGAACAACGAAAAGTATACACAAAAAATAAATAAAAATGCAGGGCCACTAGTTATATGAAGGAACCGGTAAGGGATAATGCCCTGTCAGTCACCCACATATGAAATATCCTGATGCGCCTTAGCGTCGGACGACCATAAATTGCGAGGTATGCCGCAGTGTACGTGTACGTATAGTCCGGTCGTGAATAGAGTAGGCAGCGATGAGCACAATCACAACAATCCAGCGGCAACCAAGGCAGAAAAATTTCATGTTCAAGCGGGACTGTAACGATAGCATTATCCCGTGAGCGTTGCATACTCAGCGGGTCGTTGAACCAGGAGTTGGCGGACTTTGAAGTGGGACCGTTTGATTGCACTATGAAGAAAAGCCGGTGCTTTAGGAAGCTCCGTGGTATTAATGGTACACAGCAACGGTGTAACCCAGCAACGTTGTCAGGGAGATAAGTGCGCAATAGCTGGAAAGAGTTGAGGAAAATGGTTACTGTAATGAATCGTGATGCAATATAAAGGGTTAAGGATAAGGGTGTATATGTATGATGTTTTTTATTATCTCGGTGGCCATAGTTGACGGTGTTGCTACTGCTATGCTTTTTGATGACGGAGAACTGTTCGGATCGTTAGCTACGGTGAAGTACAACAGTGTCGAAGACTTAAAGGAGCATTTGGGACGTTTTCAGATGGACACCGCGACTTGTTTTTCCGAGTGACATCGGTGTCCGCGGCGGTATACAAGCGTGGAAGCGGAATGCAGTTGCCAGATGCAGGTGGCTACGGTTACATTCTCTACCGTTGCGTGCATTGTAAATGTTCCGGTTCTTGTGGCAAACGGTAAGTTTATAGTGATCCATTACCTTAACTTATGCAGGTAGATACAAATCGTACGATTGCAAGGCCCGGTACTCGGTGCTTATGAAGGTGAGAAGATATGTCGTTGGACGTTACTGAATGAAACACAGTCATGACTTTCATCTGGGGGACCCCGGTTATACGCACGTAACCGTCGGCTGTCATCGCGACAAGAGATGGAATTGCTACGGTGGATGAACAGTTTCCACAGCACACTTGATTTGAGACGGTTTAACCTTCACGAATACTGGAAGTGTGTCACGCGCATTGACCTCAGTAAGTTGCAGATACGTCATCGGAGTAGGATGGCATGTGAGGTCGCGGACGAGGCATCGGTGTCGAAACGTCACGGAGTTTGCCGTTTGGTGTGCGAGGGGAACCAGATTTGGTACGAGTTCTTTTCTCCATCTGTGGTCCGCGCCATTGTGAAATGATATGGTGAGGTGCTATTATGAGATGCTACGCACCAGTTAAATTACGGTAGATAGGTACTGTTGCATTGCATGTTCGTTGATGTCACTGGGCTGGGGATGGCTTTATTCTACTCCCTTTTACCGGATGAAACGTCCTACAGCTTTGGTCAAGCGGTTGAGGCGATCCTAGAAATGGTGCCAAGCACCAGATATTGCCGTACTGCAGTGATAGATATATGTGCAGCGCAGGTGAAAGCGTTTCATCGTTCGTATCCGAACTCAAAGGTTGTGTTTTGCCGTTATCACTTGAAATGTGACATGACTCGTCTTTGCAGTCACGTACGTGGCATATCAGATG